GGACCATGAGTAATCAATCCAGCAGCTGCTAGATGATGCAAAGAATAGCATAAGAGTGATCAGAATCAATGAAGAAACAGAAGAGAGTGAAGATGATAAAAATAAAAAAACAGAAGTAATGGCAGAAAACTTCCCAAAGTAAGGGAAAAGAACTTGACATACAGATAAGTGAGGCATACAGGAGTCCAAATAGCAATGATAAAAGAAAAATTACACATAGACATATAATAGTTGAGAAGAACAAAATTCTACAAGCAGTTAGAGAAAAGAAACAAATCACATATAAAGGAAAGCCCATCAGAATTATAGCAGACTTGTCAACACAAACCCTCAATGCAAAAAGAGCTTGGGGTGAAGTATTTAAAGCCCTAAAGGAAAACAGACTTCAACTGAGATGGATGTACCATGCAAACTATCTTTCAAAACTGATGGAGAAATAAGATACTTCCATAATAAATCATCTTAGGAAATTTATGAATACCAAACAAGTACTCAAAATTTTTTCCATTAAATTTATTGGTACATTTAAAGCAAACTATACAGTTACATTTACCATTGGGATCTTGTACCTTTATGTGCTATATCTTGGTTCTTGTTTTTCTCCTATACCCCTGCCCTCCCTTCACCATCTTTACCCTTCCCTATTTATAAAGACTTTCCTTCCATTTTTCCATTTTTCACATTTTTTCTTTTCCTTTATTTCCTTTCCCCCCTTCCCACTTCCCCTTTAGCCATTTTCTTCCTGTTTCACACTCCCAATTATACCATTTGAACCTTATTTACACTATTAGTTTTTCACACCAGGTAAACTTTTGGGTATTTACTTGTGTGTCCTATTTATTTCACTTAAGAGTATAGCCTCAATGTGCATTCATTTAGCTATAAATGTTTTTAGTTCCTCATTCTTTATGGCTGATACTTTTTAAGTGAACAGTACAGTTACATTTATCATTGGGATCTTGTACCTTTACATTACAGTACTCCATTTTGTAGAAAAACATCTTCTTTATCCAGTCTCCAGTTGATGGGCATTTAGGTTGTTTCCAAGTTTTAGCTGTTATGAACTGTGCCTCTACAAAAATGGGTGTATGTGGTATGATTCTTTTAATTCTTTTGGAAAGATACCCAGCAGAAGGATAGCTGGGCCAAATGGAACCTCTAATCCTAGTTCTTTGAGGTATCTCCATATTGATTTCCACAGTCTGCACTCCCACCAACAGTGGAAAAGTTATTAGTAAAGAGAAAAATCACATTTAAACCACTGAGCCAAATCCCTGGCCCAGGAGCTTTTCAATAAGATGAGATCCCAGGTGCTTATTCTTTGTGCTAGTTCTCAAGTGACTGAGTTTAGGTTCATAAAGTCTTTTGCTATCATAAAGTCTTTTTTTTTTGATACTGGGGATTGAATTCGGGTCCTTGAGCTTGCAAGGCAGGCCACCTAACCACTGAGATAAATCCCCGGCCCCTATGATAAAGTCTTTAAGAATTAATATAACTTTTCAGTGATTTTAGACAGTAACTCCTAAGTATTAGCTTACTGTCAAAAAATCTACTACCCATATTAAAACATCAGCATTTGTTAATGCTTGCTTTATAATTGTTGCTTTACACAGATTTGAATTTTGTACAAATTTGATGCATTATATAGATTTAATACTTCATACCAATTTAAATGATTATCTACCAATCTTTAGTTTTTGATATCTAGAAATGATTCCACTCTCTTTCACACTTATTCCTAAAAGCAATGCGCATCAAGAACTGGATGAGTAGATCTGACTGTTGATGTGCTCATATCAGTATAGACTTATGTATTCCTGAACAGATTCTCAAAAATCTTACCTCAAATACACTTGAAATTTATTCAGTATTCATAAACAATTTTCCTAAAAACACACATTTAAATTAACTAATGCTCCTCTAAGCAGTCCACAGCATACATATTGCCCTGAAATGTACTAGTTTACATGCAAATGTATATTCAAGGCTCTATGGGAAGATTGTATTTTATTTTAAATCCTTTCCCTGTTGCTCAGCTTTAAAAGATGAAAGGACATGATATAATTTTTTACTATATTATGATGGTATCTTTTCAAAATTTTTGTACCTCTTAATTTCATGCAAGTAAAAATTACCAGACACTATGTTAGTGGAGGATGTTTAACCCCAACAAGTGATGTATACTCATTATTAGTACTATTTATATTTTTCCCAATAAAAAATGTGTCCTATAATATACACCACATTATTCTTAAGATATAGTTCCAAAAATTTCCCTGTTGTATGCCTAGTACTAATCCTTGCAGCATTAGTGAACAAAACATTTCAACTTGCATTAAAGGAGACTGTAAAGTGGGATGAGAGTTGGAAAATTGATCTGCAAGACACATGGTATTTATCCGCTAACAAGTATACAATGTATGTAAACGTATGTAGTTCTCTCTTTTATTCCTCTGTGTAAAGATGGAAACTATCAGTCACTTCAACAACATATGCACACCTAAAAGAAGTTTGGAACTCAAACGTTTAGTTACTGTGGGTTTTCTTTTAAAATTAAGCACTCTATGGCTGGGATTTAGCTCAGTGGTGGTGCTGCCTGCCTCACAAGCACAGGATTCTGAATTTGATACCCAGTACAAAAAAAGAGAGGGTGAGGGATAAAGCATTCTACACAACTGGAAATTTTATTGTCAAGGGGCAGTGGAGCCTGTCATGACTCAAAATGCTAGTGTATATCTCAGCCTCACTGATGATATTACATGCTCTTCTTTATATATGTAGTTTTTATATCCACGAAAATCTTGCTATGATCTCTGAAAAACCGTCTACATATTGTGAGCCAAAATTATCTACTTAGTGTCTATCAAAAACTTTGGAGTTTCATTACTCCTGTGTACCAGGATAGAGAAAAAACTGTGGAGTCAGAAATTAATTTTTCTAACACATGCATATATTTGCAGAAAGAAAATACAAAATTCCCCTTCATGTAAAAAGAAAATGACAATGTGAGATACCAGAATATTTATTTCAAATGTCATGAAATTGAATCTTTTATCATTTGTTCTACTGATGATATCTACTTTGAAGTTTAGCATTATATTATATATTCATTACCTATTAATAATCAGAGGAGCAACAATTATATATTTAATTCATGATTAATAAAGTAGTATAAACCAGAAATGAACTCAGATGTCAAAGATAAAAACAACCTGCCATAATTTACTTACTTGTAAGAGGTTGGGGACAAGATTCCAAATTAAATTGCCAGTGTCTGTGTCTGATCCACAAATCATATTGTTTCTGAACCATCATAAAGTTTTCCTTATAGGTTGTTGTGTCTACACTGTGGTGAAACATGTGAAAATTAAACACTTTTTCATTTTTCAGAATTGGAGAGAAATCTGAATCAATTTCTCTGGTAGATGTTGAGAAGGATGATTTATAACAGATGAACAGAATGTGGAGAACTTCAAGGAAAGCATGGAGTGGTGGGTCAGGCATGAGATCAAAACTAATTAAAACTAATTGTAGACCTTCTCAATCTCTGATCTTTACTCCTTTAGTTACATATCCTTTCTAAAGTGGAGGCAGCAGGTTTCACACCTCTCTCCACAGCGATCTACTTGGAACTCCTAAGGGTAGAGTACAGTAAGTAAAGTTTCCTTCCTGGATGAACAGGAAAGAGAAATAGGTGCTTGGATTGTCAAAGGAAATATGTGCCAAGATTTGCCTGGTAAAATTTCCTGTGTGTTTTGAGACAGCCTTCTGTAAGTATTTCTTCACTATTTGCTTTACAACAACTTGTAATAAATTACACAAAAATGCAGTGTCCTATTTTCTTTTGACTTAATAAAAGAGCTTTCTGCTGAAATATTATGCATACAAAATGAAATAAATCACACTGAGTACATAAGTTAGATGCATCCATTTAAGAAATTCTACAATTATTGCTTTATAACATTATGGTTATTTTCATCCTCCTAGTCTCTACCATAATTCTATTTGAGATGTTGAGGAAATAGTTTCTGACAGCAATCGTATGCTATCATGGGTTAGATGTCTATGAGAAGCAGGATAAGTGTGTGAGGAAAGGAAAATTGAGCAAGAGTTTGGGCTCTTTGTAATAATCAGGTACAGACATTTCACAGTCCTCTGATCTGAAACTGCACAATCATCATCACGTTTCATTGTCTACATGTCTTCATGATGGGAAGTAGTTTCCAACAGTCCTTCCTCCATTCATTACTTTCTCAGTTAGGCTGTGTGTTTCCTGTGGAATATCCAAACATATCCCATACCCCTCACCTCTCTGAGGATCATAAAAATCTCAAGGACAGCCCAGAGAATGGATATGGAAAATGTCAAATATGGGCTTCCTGTTTTAAGTGACCATGAAGAAGGAGATACAGACATCTCAAGATGTGAAACAAACACTAGAAGAATTGACAGGTTATGTCATATCAAATAACCTGGAAATCTCCATACACCCAACTTATAATTACCCATATTGGTACATAGTATTCCAATCTTTGAAATATCTGAAATTCAATGAAAGCTTAAAAAACTCAATGTCACCAAAAATTTTGGGCTCTTCCTTTATGCAGAAGGCTTGAGCATTATTATCTTTGTTAATTTTATCATTTTTAAATGAAGTCATCAACTTTTTGTTTCTACTGTACTTATATGCACATATATAATTTTAAGAAATTTTAGGTGCAGAATTTGGTTACATACGTTGCAGTATATATTTTGTGCACCCATCACTCTTATCCATCTTCAGAAAATTTTCACTTTCCCAACTGAAATTTGCACCTGTATGAACAGTAAATAGTACCCCCTGAATGCCATGACTTGGTAATGAAACATCATATAAAGTTAAGGACATCAAACTTCAGAAAAACAAGACCAAGGAGGAAGTATTTACAGATATGTTTTGGATTTTATTTTTCTTTTTTTTACCACATTTTAAAAACTACATTCTAAATAAATTGCAAAGATTAGATTTTCCAAAGTTGGAGCCTCTTCAGGGTGCTAAGAATATCCCTGTTCCTCAGGCTGTAGATGAAGGGATTCAACATAGGGGAGACCACAGTGTACATCAGTGAGGCCACCACACCTTTCCTGGGAGAAGATGACACAACTGAACCAAAATATGTTCCAAGGCCTGTTCCATAAAATAAACAAACAACTGACAGGTGAGAACCACAGGTAGAAAAGGCTTTGTACCTTCCCCCAGATGATGGGATTTTCAGAAGGGCAGAAACAATTTTATAGTAGGAGAAAATGATTCCTAACATGGGAAAAAACCCAAATAGAATACTAACCATATATGTGACTATATTTTTGATTAATGTATCAGAACATGAAATGTCAAGGAGTTTTGAAGGATCACAGAAGAAACTAGGAATTTCCACATCTTTGAAACAGGTAACTTGTAAGGCGACGAAATTGTGCACCTGGGAATCCAAAAGGCTAACAAAAACCAACAGCAAAAGTAATAAGACACAATGACGAGTGTTCATAATGACTGAATAATGGAGCGGGTAACAGATGGCCACAAAGCGGTCATAGGCCATCACAGTCAAAAGCACATCATCCATACATCCAAAAAGGACAAAAAAAGATATCTGTGTGAGGCAGCCACCATAGGAGATGACCCTGCTGTGAGTTAGGATGTCCACAATCATCTTTGGGACTGTAGAGGAGGTGAAACCAATGTCAGCTAAGGACAAGTTGGAGAGGAAGAAGTACATGGGGTTGTGGAGGTGGGCATCAGAGGTAACAGCCAGGATGATGAGCAGGTTTCCAAGCACTGTGACCAGGTACATGGACAGGAAGAGCCCAAAGAGGATGGGATGCAGGTTTGGATCCTCTGAGAAGTCCATGAGGTGGAACTCTGAGACATGTGTGAGATTACATCTTTCCATGTTGCTCGAGCATATTTAAAATAAATAAATAAACTTCATTGAAAATGAAACAGTATCACACAAAACATTTTATATATTCTTAGTTCAATTATTCATAAGCAAAGAATTCCCACCAGAGATCCACAACCTTCATCAGTGTTGCTGTATTTTGATAAACTCCATCATCAAGGACTAAGTGCTTGGTGGTTTGATTTCCCCTCCTCTATGCACTCTTACTTTACTGATGCTTTACTGCACAGTGTAAGCAGACCAAAGGCATAGATTTATGAAGTACTTGATCACAATGAAATGTAGGAAACTTTTTTCCAAATAGTATAGAGGATAGTTAAGCCATCCCCCTTCTAGAAATCTTCAGTTGATTTGTTCTTCTTTTCCTAGAAATTTGAGCTTCAAAATTGGATGCTTTAATTGAACTTGCTCTGTTTAGCTGATGTAAGAGTTCATTGCTCTAAATTTTCCTTGTAGTTCAGCTTTTATAGCTTCCCATAAATGAGGTTTTGCTTTTAAACTATTAAGCAAGTAGGAATATCTAGATCTAGAAAAAATGATTCTATTGGAAGAAAATTGAAAAGCATTAAAATATACTGCATTTTATTCTCATAAAATGCTACAAATTTTTTTGATTAGGGTGTCTGAAAAAACTATACAATCTAGGACTGCATTGTCTGAAAAATAAATTAAAGTTAATTCTCTTCAATGAGAACACTTGTTTTGAACCATTGTGAGAAAAAAATTAAGAATTTTTCATTTTTGTTGTTTTTTTCTAGTTTCATCTTTTAAGGATGTGAGAGCTTACCCAGGCTTTGTAAATAAACTGTGCATACTCTTGGTTTGTGTAAAAGTTATTCAATATGGAACTTTTATCCTTGTCTTTGTTGTATTCAAATTCATATATCACAGGTTCAGATACATACATATAATCTTCAGACAGAAATTACCATGAATGTAAGAAAATATTTGGAAAATCGTTGAATTTACTTCACTGTTGATTCTTACTTAGGAATGTATTTATGTGGATATATTGTCATATGTTCAGATACCCTAGGTATAAACTAATATATTAATCAAAATATTTAAATTCAAAGTTTTGAGTAATTTTCTAAAACAAGAGTTGAGAACCACTGTCTGAGAATATTTGCTGTCATTTAGAATATTTACCATTCATACTATCTAGAGATATTAACATGTAAATATTTAATAATCTTTACATCATCATTATTATTGTTTAGGTAGCTAAACAATTACCTAAAATCTGAACACAGCTTATTATTTCTCTTGCACACCTGTCCTGAAAGGAGTCTGTTTTCCTAAATTACGTGGGTAAATTTTCTTATGAGTTGTCAGTGCAACAACATTTATGAATCTACAATCAATTCTCTCAAAAATTTACCTAAAAGAGATGCAAGAGTCATCTAAGTACTATGTGATAGAACATTTACCCCCGCCCCAATAAACTAGGTTATGTCCACCACAAGTAGTGGTTTTAGGCTTCTTCAACCAATTCAGAGTCTTTGGAAGGAGTAGGTCTCATTTACCTTGTAAGTTAATTATTATGATAATATTTTCAAAATTCTTGGGCTTCTTTCCCTGTCATGAAATTGTTATATAATATACTGCAGTGATATTTTTCTGGTTTCCCACAAATAAAGCAAGTAAAGTTATAATTTTTTTCAGAAAATAGTTGACTCATTTTTATCTATATCCTCCTTTTCATCAGATAAACCTTCAAAATATGCTTACAATCTTTTCTTTTCAGTGATGATCTCTTTGTAATACTACACAAAAAATTTTCATCATCACGGAAGGAATAACATTTCAATTTTGATTCAGTTTTACAGTCTGTGCCAAGGGATAGCATTGAAGAAATGAGCATATTAGTTTTGTGTCATTGACCTCTTACCAAGAGCAGAATATGTGTGAATCTCTCTTCTTCTCTGTGCTTATAATGCTTGGGTAAAATAAGGAGAATAGCATTCACACACACACACACACACACACACACACACACATGTGGCAACTAAAGAAAGTTAGAATTTAACTATTTAGCAATTGTGAAATTTCTTAGAATGAATTGCACTAATTTTTGCTGTGACTTTTATAGTTTCCTCTCTTCTGTGAGCTTTTCACGTGATTTGTTCTTTTCACAGAAATTTGAGGATCAACATTGGGTGGTTTCTTTGAGCTTTCTAAGTTTACCTGATGTAAGTGTTCATTGCTCTAAATTTTCCTTGTAGTGCAGCTTTTATAGCTTCCCATAAATGAGGTTTTATTTTTAAACTATTAAGCAAGTAGAAAGATTATTAAGTGTAGTTAACTACATTCATATGGCATTGGAACCTGAAATGGTATTAAGTTTTTTAATCTACCTAAACTTGAGACATACAGTCACCCACTCTCTTCTCTTTAACCTTTTTAAAGAAACACATGTATATCTCTATTGTATTTTGTTTTCAAATAACCTATAGAGATACAATTAAGTGAACTATAGGGTGCATGTGTCCATGACATAAAGGAAAAAACAAAAGTTATTTTATTTTGTCTTTACACCTATGGGGCATTTGTGAAAGGGTTGGAGATGCAGACAGTAAGGTACTAAGCATCTTCACATCAGGCTGATCAAGGATTATGACTCATGGAAGGGTCCACTCAAAGTTGAACACAGGTTTTAATTTTTGATGTCTCTTTTGTGCCAAAAAGGCTATAGGTCTGTGAAATCAGTGATAAAGGAAAATACATCATTTCTTTCCAAACATAAGCATATAATTACACAAATACAAGCACAATGTTCTGCAACGTAAATAGAATAAGTAACTACAGGACACAGGAAATAACTGGTAAGAATATACTTCTCACTGATAATAACGATAGCTAAATTTCATTTGCTCTAATCTTATACCTATTAATGTTAAATAGAGTACTCCTTATCTGCATAATACTTAGTGCAGTTGCTTCAAGTAGAACTTAACACTAACGACTACACCCTCTCAGAGATGCCAAGAACACCCCTGCATCATGGAAGACATAAATGGTGTTGAACAGATTAAAAAATAATTTGGCAGATGCTATCTGATACACTGAAATTTTTCACTGTTTTTAATCTACAGAAAGATATATGAGGAAGAACAGAATTGCTAATCATAGGTACTTTAGAGGCACATTTGCAAGTCTATCATTTCCTTAAAAGAAATGAAATAAAGACATGACTTTTTCACATTTGAGTTGGTGAGAAATAAGTGCAAGCACGGAGAAGGATGTAGGAAGCTTAAAAATGTCCTACAGTGTCCACAGGAGAAAACTATGTGATGGATATCTGTCTATGAGGGATGCAGCTGAGTCTATTCCCTGCTCTGCTCTGTGAGCTTTCAGAAAACTCCACCAGCTAGGACCATGTGAGCAAGGGCCTCTCTGGAAGTGACAGAGAATTAATTGTCTGCTTTTGCTCAGAGACAACCTAACAGAATACCCTGTGTCTATAATCAGACAACCCAAGTCTACCAAGTCATTTTTCTACATACCAAACTAACGAAGGTTCCATTGAGAGATTAATCCTTTTTTTAAACACAAATAATCACAATGTAAGCAAATATAAATCCAGGAAGACAGAGAACAAAAAAATGAAACAAGGCACATAGAAGAAATTGTTCATTGCCTGTGAATTTCATTAGGAATCTGTACCTGGGAGATAGGAAGCCCTCAAATCCAGTTTCTGATGTTATGTTCCCCTTTATCCTGATCATCACCTTTAGAGCACTTAGGAGGCACCTCAGAGGGGCATGTTGTCTGCTATTATTAGTGAGACACCAATGGAGTAGAAACAGGGTGTGTAGAAGCAAATTTGAAATAATAATTCTGCTTTCACCACTACAACCAGGATCATAAAATTTTCATTTCTTATAGCTGATATTTTTCATATTTGTGCTCTCATATCTGAGCACCAAAATGGCATTTTTTTAGGATAGAGAAACAATAACTTTAAGCATCCTCATATCAACGAGATACCTTTGGGCTTACTGGGTGGTTCTGTTTCTCTGTTGGGTCAGGTGAAAGAGAAAAGATCCAAAGACCTTCTTATGTTTACTGTCTAGTGAAGCCTCAGTCTCTATCCTCAGGATTAAAATTAATACAAAGAGACATAGGAGCTTCATAATACAGGCAACCATAGAGCCCATGACATAGGTATGGAGTTGGATATAGGACTGAAGTCACTAAAGGGCTGGAGGCTAATCATTGACTACTTAGTTACCATGGGGACTCACTGCACAGAGGTCATAATTAGTCAAAATAACTGATGTCAAACCAGTCTCTAAGGATTTCCCAACACTAATGGAGGAAGGACAAAATATCAAATATCAATATCCACAAGAGATTTGGGGTTCTTCATCTACTCAGATAAAGCTAGTTTGTTCATCTACTCAGATAAAGCTAGTTTGTCCTAATAACTTTTGTCCCATATACAACTTTAAAACATGATTTGACTTTATTTAATTTTTGAAGTAAAATACATGTAACAAAATTACACTTTTAACCATGATCAGTATACACTTTCATATTGTTGTGAATCACTCAACATCATATATCTTTGATAATTTCTCATTTTCTGAACTGAAAATTTATGTTCAACTTGAAAGTTCACTCTTCATCTTCCCAGAGTTACATTGCAAAAATAAAGCCACGAAACATTATACTAACATAACAAAAAAGATTAGAAGTCCCAAGATTTACTCTTTTGCTGTAGTCTTCCCAGGTTATGTATATTTACTTTGTTACTCAGGCAGTGAAGGGATTCATCATAGGTCTGACCATAGTATATAATGCTGTGGCTGTTACATTGTTTCTCATAAAATCTAATAAAGCCAATTCAATATATTCTTTAACCCTTGTTCCATAAAATAAGGAAGCAACTGACACTCAGAACTAAAAAGTAGTGAAGATATTTTTTCTATCAGATGATGATATTCAAATGAGGAAACAATTTTAATATGAGAAAATAATACATAATATTATTATGT